TCATGGCTGCTGGATCCTTCCATTTGGGAGATCTTATGGTTGATGGATCCTTCCATTTGGGACATCTCATGGCTGCTGGATCCTTCCATTTGGGACATCTCCTGGTGGATTAAGTCTTCCCATTGGGACAGAGTTTTGTATCCCTTGACATTCCCTTGGCACCATTCCTGGTGTCTCTCGGCTTTTCCTTGGCACGGCTCTTGGTCGATGACGTTTTTCGCGTGGGACATCTCTTGGCTGAAGAGTTCTTCCATCTCTTGGTCGATTAGATCTTCCCACTGCGACACGCTTTTGTATCCGTTGGCTTCTCCTTGGCGCTGCTCTTGGAATTTCTTGGATTTCCCTTGGCACCTCTCTTGGGATCTCTTGGGTTCTCCTTGGCGCCGCTCTTGGTGGGTGAATTCCTCCCGTTGGGTCAGATCCTCGCGTCCGTTGCCTTGCCCTTGGCGCAGTTCCTGGTCTCCCCTGGCTTTCTCCTGGCACAGCTCGTGGTCCATGAGCTCCTCCGTGCGGGACATCTCTTGGGTGATGAAGTCCAGCCATCGGGACAGATCTTTGTGTCCATGGGCTTTGCCCCGGCTCATCCCTTGGGATGTGTCTGCGTGCCCTCGGGATCCCTGTGGATCTCTGCCGTGCCGCCCTCGGGGACCGCACAATTCCCTCTTTTCCTGCTCCACGGCCAACACCCCCTGTCCCTCACAGCTCCTGGGAGTTGGGATGTGGCTTCTCCAGAGGGATCCGGGAGCTGCTCTCCTGGGAATGGCCCTGAACCCTTTGGGATTGCGCTGGCGTCGGGGTACGGCGCAGCTCCCCTGTCACAACGGGACATCCCAGCACCCCAGCAACCAGGGGGCCCTCTGGAACCTTCTGGAACCTTCTGGAACCTTCTGGAACCTTCTGGAGCTGCAGCCCCGGCCGCACACGACACCAGGGGTGCGCAGGGTGGGGTTGTCCCCCCCAGGTGACGCTGGAAGGACACTGGGGGCACCCAGGGACGCCTGGAGAAGTGGCACCGTGAGAACGCAAGCGGTTCATCCAAGCCGGGTGAAATCCCAGGCTGGAGCACGGGGACAGGGGACAGGACCGTCCCGGTGCCACTCGGTGGCTCCGCTTGGATTCCCGGTTGGATTCCCGGTAGGATTCCGGCCGGGAACAGCCACGACGGCGCCTTTAAGGCATCTCCAAGCGGGATGTGGCAGGCGCGGGCGCTGCGCCAGGAAATTCCTGCCATCCCGGGAAGTGCTGAGCCAGCGCGAAGCGGGGCCAGGAGCGGCGCCGGGACTTCTGCAAACCTCCAAAGAGCCGGAGCTTCCCCAGCCCGGGACAAACCCGTGCCAGCCCTTGGAATCGGGCAGGGAATGCCCGCTGCCCCTGTGCCAGCCCCGCTGTGCCCGTCCCTCCGGATCCCGGCAGGGCTCCGGGACACTCCCCGGGGGACAGGGATGAGGACAAGGGACAGCGGTGGATCCCAGTAAAAGACGGGAAAGTCAAGCCGGGGAAGTTCGGGGCGTGCGAGACCCCGCGCGGGGCGGATGGAGCGGCGGGACCCAACCCCAGCACCCGGACCCGCACCCCGAGTCCCACCCGGGGCACCCCCGAGGGGTCGGGGCCGGGGACCCGCACCCCGAGTCCCAGCCGGGGCACCCCCGAGGGGTCGGGGCCGGGGACCGCCCCTCGCCGCTGGGTTCGGCCCCGCTCCGCCCGCACCGGCGGCTCCGGGACCTCCCGGGTCCCCGGGCTCGAGCGGCGACGCCGCCGCTGCGGCGGGAGGAGCCCCCGCAGACCCCCGGGCCACCCCCCGACGTGGCGGTGGGACAGTGGGGACACGGTGGGGGGACACGGTGGTGGCTCGGTGGGGACACAGGTCGAGGCACGCCGGTGGGACCGGGTGTCCCCCGTTCGAGGGGTGCGGTGACACGGGGAGCGGAACGGGGCCGTGTAACGGGGCGGGGCACGGCCGGGGGTCCCGGGCAGGAGGCGGGCGGGGGTCCCGGGCAGGAAGCGGGCGGGGAGCGGGCGGTGGGCGGGGAGGAGCCGGGAGCGGGACCAGGAGCGGGCAGGCACCGGCAGGGACCGGCAGGGCCGCGGCCATGGCGGGGTCGCCCCTCGCCCCGCTGCTGCTGCTGCTGCTGCTGCTGGGACCCCCGCCGCCCCCCGCCCGCGCCGCGCCCCCCCAGCCCGGCACGGCCGGCGGGACCCCCAAACCCAGCGGGGTGTCCCCCAGAAAAGGCAGCACGGCGGGACCCCCCAAAACCAGCGGGGTGTCCCCCACGAAGGGCACCACGACGGGACTCCCCAAAACCAGCGAGGTGTCCCCCACGAAGACCATCGCCGGGGGACCCCCTAAAAGCAGCGAGACGCCCCCCTGGAAGGGCAGCACGACGGGACCCCCCAAAACCAGCGGGGTGTCCCCCAGAAAGGGCAGCACGGCGGGACCCCCCAAAACCAGCGGGGTGTCCCCCACGAAGACCATCGCCGGGGGACCCCCCAAACCCAGCGGGGTGTCCCCCACGAAGGGCAGCACGGCGGGACCCCCCAAAACCAGCGGGGTGTCCCCCACGAAGGGCACCACGACGGGACCCCCGAAGGGCGGCACGGGACCCCCGCGGCGGGGCAGCGCGACCCCCGCCAGCCCCGGCCCCTCCCGGCGCGGGGACCCCGCGGTCACCGGTAAGACCGGGAGGGCTCGGGGGGCGCTGGGAGGAGCGTGGCAAAGCGGGGGTCGCGGGGGGCACGCGGGGTGCCAGGGCGTGCCCTGCCCCTTCCCTGGCACCCCCGTGTCCCCTCGCAGCCCCGGCGCCCGAGGTGAGGAGGAGGAAGGTGCTGAGGAAGAAGAAGGTGCCGAGGAAGAAGCCGGAGGCTCCGGCCGCTCCGCGGGAGCTCTGTGCGTGCGCTGGGTGCGGGTGGCACGGGCGAGGTCACCTGCACACGGAGCTGGCCTGTCCTGGGGACACCCGGGGACACCTGGGGGACACCGGGGGGACACCTGGGGACACCTGGGGGACACTTGGGGACACCCGGGGGGTGCTTGGGAACACCTAGGGACACCCGGGGGACACCTGGGGACATCCGGGGGGCACCTGGGGGGCACTTGGGAACAGCTGGGGACACCCAGGGACACTTGGGAACACCCGGGGGGCACCTGGGGACACCCCGGGGGCATTTGGAGACACTTGGGGACATCCGGGGGGCTCCTGGGGACACTTGGGGACACCCGGGGGACACGTGGGGGCACCTGGGGACATATGGGAGGTGCTTGGAGGCACCCGGGGGGCACCTGGGGACAGCCGGGGGACACCTGGGGACATCCGGGGGGCACCTGGGGGGTGCCTGGGGACACCTGGGGACACGTGGAGGACACGTGGGGGTACCTGGGGACACCTGGGGTCACTTGGGGACACCCGGAGGGCTCCTGGGGATGCCTAGGGACACCCGGGGGGTGCTTGGGGACACCCGGGGGGTGCTTGGGGACACTTGGGGGCCACCCGGGGGGCTCCTGGGGACACCCGGGGGACACTTGGGGATACCCGGGGGGCACCTGGGGACACCTGGGAGGTGCTTGGGGACACCTGGGGACACCCGGGGGGCACCTGGGGACACTTGGGGACAGCCGGGGGGCTCCTGGGAACACCTGAGGGCACCTGGGGACACCCGGGGGACACTTGGGGACATCCGGGGGGTACTTGGGGGCAGCTGGGGACAGCCAGAGGGTGCTTGGGGACACCCGGGGGACACCTGGGGGACACCTGAGGGCACCTGGGGGACACACGGGGGGCACCTGGGGATGCCTGGTGACACCTGGGGACACTTGGGGACACCCAGGGGACACCTGTGGGATACCCGGGAGGCACCTGGGGACACCCAGGGGGCACCCGGGGTTTGGGGCGCTGAACCGTGGCTGGCACCGCTCGGGGGGCACACGGGTTGGGGACATCCCCGGCCGCTCGGGGGTCCCTGGGTGACGCGGTGCCCGCCGTGTCCCCAGCGTGTCCCCCCCTGGGGCTGGAGTCCCTGCGGGTGCTGGACGCGCAGCTGCGGGCATCGAGCCACAGGCGGCACGGGCTGGGCGCGCACCGCGGCCGCCTCAACATCCAGGTATGCCAGGGGTGCCAGGCTGGGCCGGGGATGCCAGGGGTGCCAGGGATGGGCGAGGGGTGCCAGGGGTGTGCCAGGCTGGGCCAGGGTGGATCAGGGTGTGCCAGGAGTGTGCCAGGCTGGGCCAGGGGTGCCAGGGTGGATCAGGGTGTGCCAGGAGTGCCAGGGTGGATCAGGGTGTTCAAGGAGTGTGCCAGGCTGGGCCAGGGTGCATCAGGGTGGGCCAGGGTGGGTCAGGGTGTGCCAGGGTGTGCCAGGACTGCCAGGGTGGGCCAGACTGGATCAGGGTGTGCCAGGGTGGGTCAGAAGTGTGCCAGGTTGGGCCAGGGGTGCCAGGGATGGGCTAGGTGTGCCAGGGCGGGCCAAGGTGGATCACAGTGTGCCAGGGTGGGCCAGGTTGGATCAGGGTGTACCAGGAGCGTGCCAGGGGTGCCAAAGTGTGCCAGGAGTGTGCCAGGCTAGGCCAGGGTGGCTCAGGGTGTGCCAAGGTGTGCCAGGAGTGTGCCAGGGTGTGCCAGGGTGGCTCAGGCTGTGCCAGGCTGGGCGGCTGTTTGGGTGCCACCTACACAAGGTGTGGCCCGTGGGTGTGGCAAGTGCGCGACAAACGCCACGGAGGCGTGGCACCTTCGTGGCACAGTTGTGGCATTTTGTGGCATTTTGTGACATTTTGTGGCCCATTTGTGACATTTTGCCCCATTTCTGACATTTTGTGACATTTTGTCACCAGTCCGTGGCACCTTCATGCCCCATTTGTGACATTTTGTGCCCCATTTGTGACATTTTGTGGCATTTTGTGACATTTTGTGGCATTTTGTGACATTTTGTGGCATTTTGTGGTCAGCCCATGGCACCCTCACAGCCCACGAGTGTTCCTGGCGCTCTCCAGCTCTGCCCTCTCCCTCCCGTGTGGCTCTTGGTGGTCCTGGTGCCACCACTGTGGTGCCACCACCCCGGTGCCACCACCCCAGTGCCACCCCCACCCTGGTGCCACCACCACCGGTGCCACCACCCTGGTGCCACCACTGGTGCCACCACCACCGGTGCCACCACCACCAGTGCTGCCACTACCAATGCCACCACCCCGGTGCCACCACCCTGGTGCAACCACCACCCTGGTGCCACCACCACTGGTGCCACCCCCACCCCGGTGCCACCACTACCGGTGCCACCACCACCGGTGCCACCACCCTGGTTCCACCACCACCGGTGCCACCACCCTGGTGCCACCACCCTGGTGCCACCACCCCAGTGCCACCACCCCGGTGCCACCACCCTGGTGCAACCACCACCACCAATGCCACCACCACCTGTGCCACCACCCCGGTACCACCACCACTGGTGCCACCACCACTGGTGCCACCACCACCTGTGCCACCACCACTGCTGCCACTACCCCAGTGCCACCACCCCAGTGCCACCACCCCGGTGCCACCACTGTGGTGCCACCACCACTGGTGCCACTACCCCAGTGCCACCACCCCGGTGCCACCACCACCCCGGTGCCACCACCCCAGTGCCACCACCACCAGTGCCGCCACCTTGGTGCCACCACCACTGGTGCCACCACCACCGGTGCCATCACCACCACCGGTGCCACCACCCCGCTGCCCCCACCCCGGTGCCAGCAGCGCGTTCTCGGGGCGCGCGGGGCGGTGTGGCCGTGTCCCCGCGCGTGTCCCCTGCTGTCCCCTCAGTCGGGGCTCTCCGACGGTGACCCGTTCGATGGCGGCTGGTGCGCGGGCCGCGAGGACACCGAGCAGTGGCTGCAGGTGGACGCCGGGCGCCTCACCCGCTTCACCGGCCTCGTCACCCAGGGCCTCAACTCCATCTGGACGTAAGGGGACAACCTCGGGGACAACCTCGGGGACAGTGACAACCTTGGGGGACCCCCACCCCCCTGACCCGCCCTGCGCCCCGCAGGTACGACTGGGTGACGTCCTACAAGGTGCAGGTCAGCAACGACTCGCACGCGTGGCTGCCCAGCCGCAACGGCACCGAGGAGGCGGTGGGTGGCACCGGGCACCGGGGGTGGCACCGGGGAGGCGGTGGGTGGCACCGGGCACCAGGGGTGGCACCGGGGGTGGCACCGAGGAGGAGATGGGTGGCACCGGGGGATTGGGGGGTCCCTGTGCCAGGGGTGGGTTTGGGGTCTCTGTGCCAGGATGGATTTGGGGTCCCTGTGCCAGGGTGATTTGGAGTCCCTGTGCCAGGGTGGGTTTGGGGTTCCTGTTCTGGGGAGGATTTGGGGTCCCTGTGCTGGGGTGGATTTGGGGTCTCTGTGCCAGGGGTGGATTTGGGGTTCCTGTTCTGGGGAGGATTTGGGGTCCCTGTGCCAGGATGGATTTGGGGTCCCTGTGCCAGGGGTGGATTTGGGGTCTCTGTTCTGGGGAGGATTTGGGGTCTCTGTGCCAGGATGGATTTGGAGTCTCTGTTCTGGGGAGGATTTGGGGTCCCTGTGCCAGGTCTGGATCTGGGGTCTCTGTGCTGGGGTGGATTTGGGGTCCCTGTGCCAGGTCTGGGTTTGGGGTCCCTGTGCCAGGGTGATTTGGAGTCCCTGTGCCAGGGTGGGTTTGGGGTTCCTGTGCCAGGGTGGGTTTGGGGTTCCTGTTCTGGGGAGGATTTGGGGTCCCTGTGCCAGGATGGATTTGGGGTCCCTGTGCCAGGTCCGGATTTGGGGCCTCTGTTCTGGGGAGGATTTGGGGTCCCTGTGCCAGGATGGATTTGGGGTCCCTGTGCCAGGTCTGGGTTTGGAGTCCCTGTTCAGGGCTGGATTTGGGGTCCCTGTGCCAGGATGGATTTGGGGTCTCTGTTCTGGGGAGGATTTGGGGTCTCTGTGCCAGGATGGATTTGGGGTCCCTGTTCAGGGCTGGATTTGGGGGTCACCATGTCAGAGCTGTACCCGGCTCATCTTTGGGGATCTCCATGCCATGGGTGGATTTTGGGGTCCCCCTGCCCGCCCCATGCCAGGAGCAGGTTTGGGGCTCCCTGTGCCCATCCCTGGTTCCTTTGGGGTGTGAGCAGCACCCACAGCCCCACCTGGGCTGTGCCCGGGGCCGTGCCCGCTCCTCATGGGCTGGGGGCCCACGGGCGGCTCTCCCTGACCCCTGCTGTCCCCTGCTGTCCCCTGCTGTCCCCTGCTGTCCCCTCCTGTCCCCTGCTGTCCCCTCCTGTCCCCCGCTGTCCCCCGCAGGTGTTCCCTGCCAACCGGGACCCCGAGACGCCGGTGCTGAACGTGCTGCCCGCGCCGCTCGTGGGGCGCTTCCTGCGCATCAACCCCCAGAGCTGGCACCCCAACGGCAGCGTGTGCCTGCGGGCCGAGGTGCTGGGCTGTGCCCTGCCCGGTGGGTGTCCCCAGCTGTCCCCTGCCCCTTGGGGACACTCCGGCTGTCCCCTGCCCCTTGGGGACCCTCTGGATGTCCCCTGTGCCTTTGGGACTCCCTGGCTGTCCCCTGCCCCTTGGGGACCCACTGGATGTCCCCTCTCCCCTTGGGGACACTCTGGATGTCCCCTGCCCCTTGGGGACCCACTGGCTGTCCCCTGCCCCTCGGGGACACTCCAGCTATCCCCTGTGCCTTTGGGACCCTCTGGATGTCCCCTGTCCCTTTGGGACCCTCTGGATGTCCCCTGTGCCTTTGGGACTCCCTGGCTGTCCCCTGTCCCTTTGGGACCCTCTGGATGTCCCCTGTGCCTTTGGGACTCCCTGGCTGTCCCCTGCCCCTCGGGGACACTCCGGCTGTCCCCTGCCCCTTTGGGACCCACTGGGTATTCCCTGTCCCTTTGGGGACCCTCCGGCTGTCCCCTGTCCCTTGGGGACCCTCTGGATGTCCCCTCTCCCCTTGGGGACCCTCTGGATGTCCCCTGTCCCTTTGGGGACCCTCTGGCTGTCCCCCAGCTCACACGCCACCCCAGCAGCACTCGCTGCTGTCACCAGAGTGGAGGTCTGGGCTGTTGGCTGTCCCTGACCGTGTCCCCTCGCTGTCCCCTCGCTGTCCCCTCGCTGTCCCCGCAGACCCCAGCGATGCCCACGCCTGGCACCCCCCGGCGCCGCCCGAACCGCCGCTGGATTTCCGCCACCACAACTACCAGGAGATGAGAAAGGTGCCACCCACCCGCCCAGCCCTGCCGGGGCATCTCCGTGTCCCCGCGGTGTCCCCGGGGTGTCCCCAAGGAGGGCTGTGCCACCTCGGCGTGTCCCTGACGGTGCCACCGCCCGCAGCTGATGAAGAGGGTGAGCGAGGAGTGCCCCGACATCACCCGCGTGTACAGCATCGGGCAGAGCTCCCGCGGGCTGCGCCTCTACGTGATGGAGATCTCCGACAACCCCGGGCAGCACGAGCTCGGTGGGGACACCTGGGGACACCTGGGGACACCTGGGGACACCTGGGGACACCTGGGGATAGCTGGGGTTACCTGGGGTGGGGCACGATGGGCGTGGGGACAGCGCCCAGGGATGCCCAGGTGGAGATGGGGTGACTGGGGGTGCCCAGGATGAGGAGAGGGTCACCAGGGATGGCCGGGCTGGCTCAGGGGGTGGGCACTGTCACCAGGGCTGGTGCAGGACAGTGGCACTGTCACCAGGGCTGGTTCAGGATGGGGTGACTGTGCCACCCAGCATGGCAGGAGATGCCCAGGATGGAGATGGGGACACCAGGGACACCCAGACCTGTGAGGGG